ACTTTTAAACCCCCCCAAAGAGGAGGTAGCAAATCGTTAGCAGAAGTAAGGGCAGAGAGAGGGCAGTGGCTACAACGAAGGTTACTGAGCATGCTCAGTTCGACTGAGCATGCTCAGTACACCCAAAGTAGCAAAACGGGAGCGGAGCATTTTGTGGGGCTACACCGGCAGCGGCTGCACAGTAACGCCATGATGCCGCCCTTGGAACCAGGGCTGGGGGCGGGGAGCCCCCCCCCATCCCACTCACTGGCGGCTCGGTGCCACCCCTCGCCCCGCCCCCTGCCATGCCCGGGCAGGGAAGCGATCGCAGGGGAAGGAGCGCTGCTCCATTGTCCGAGGTCTCCTCTCCCCCTGCCCCGGGAGCCTGGCGCGAAGCGAGAAGATGCCCTGGAGCAGAGAGCTCGACCTCTGTCCCTGTTCCATCTCACGGGCAGGGCTTTGGGCGCAATGGGGAAAGATACAAATCTGTGCTGCCACGGCCAGCCGCGTATCTCTCTGTACAGCGTGTGCGGGCAGGGAAGGCATTAAAAAAATATAACAGGACTAGGGTGATCAGACAGCAAATGTGAAAAATTGGGATGGGGGTGGGGGATAATAGGAGCCTATATAAGAAAAAGACCCCACCATTGGGACGGTCCCTATAAAATCACATCTGGTCACACTAAACAGGACAGGCACTGATTAGCTCCTAAAGCTAGAGCGAGGGAGCTGGAATTTAACCAGGAACCTAAGTAACGGTATTAATAACTGCATGATTGCACAACGCTCTCTTCTGTTCCAGTATTTAAACTGTTTGATGCTGTGGCTCATTTGACATATAATAATAATCGATGAGCAGAGAGGAAGAGTTCCCCAACCACAGCCATGGTTCCAAAAAATCAGGATTCCAACCCATTACAACTGCAACTTCTCCCACTAGAGGGCACCAAATTATTTTATAGCTGCTGGTATATTATACTCTGCAGCAGCTGCAGAGATTCTGTCTGCCCCCTTTTGAAGGATTTTAAGATAGAAACGTACAAAATTAACTTTCTGTGAAAAACAGGCCCCCAGCTTTAACCAAAGCCATAGCAGCTGCTGGAAGACAATAGGGCAGGACACACACACAAAGCTTCTAGCTTTGGGAGCTAACCCTATTGATACAAATTTGAAGAGAATAAATTATGCAGTATGCAGGAAATTGAAGATAAATTTGTCCTAATGTTGTAAGATCGAATAACATCTACAGCATTTTAAGGTTTCTCTCTTCTACAATCAGTTTTAAAGAAGCCTTTCAATTGGTGACTTTCACTGGCCTCATTTAATTTTTCCAGAGGACTGGAAGAAAGTTAAGGTTATGCTAATATTTTAAAAAGGTAAATGGGAAGACCCAGGTAACTATAGGCCAGTGAGTCTGCCACTGATCCTAGGGAAAATCATGGAAAGACTAATATAGAAAATAAATCAGTAAAGAATTAAAGTTTGATAGCATAGGTCACAATATCCTATGAATGCTTATAAGTTTGGTTTTTAAAGGTGACTGCTATATTTTCATTTCTGTAAGGGGTTTAATTTAGTAGTGAACAATTTTTAAAAGTCAGGACTCCATGGATTTTAAAACTGCCACTTGATACATTTCTAAAGGTGAGGAATGATCACCCAAAGGGGACTACATTCTAGTGGCATATGACCAGGACCTTTTCATGAGCCAGTACTATTCCATTATCTATTCATGATTTGAACAATATAAAATCAGTGCTGCTAAAGTTTGCAGCTCACCTGTTTTTTGCATCAAGTAGTAAATGATTGGTCAGTTACACAGAGCACCTTGGACCACTTGGCAAACTGGGCTCATTTGAACATGTCTCTTAATGAAGCCAAATGCAAGGTCATATCTCGGAAAAAGAAAAATGCAGGTCACAGCTGCAGCATGGTGGACTGTAATCCAGCAACACTAGAAAAGATTCAGGGATCATGACAGATAACCAAGTGAATATGAGCTCCCAGTGGGATGCTGTGGCTAACAGGACTAATGTGATTCTTGGATACATAAGTAAAGTACTATAAAATAGGGAAATGGTATTACTTCTGTATATAGCATTGGCAAAATCATTACATGTTTTCTACTTCTAGTGTCCACACATCAGAAAGCATGTTGAATTGGAAAGGATTAAAAAGGGCTACAAGACTGGTTTGGGGAAGTGCAATATATTTTGCTTATATGTCAAGTCAGTTCTTATAGCTACCTGCATGGGGAGAAGATTCCAAATAGTAGTGGTCTTTGTTAGCTAGACTAAAGGCATCCAATAGCTGAAAGTTACATAACTTCAGATTAGAAATAAAGTGCAAGCTTTTTTTTAAAATTTTATTTAAACAAAATGAGTGTAATTAACCATTGAAAAAATATACCCAGGGATGTGGTAAATTCTCCATTACTTTAAGTTTACATCAAGACTGGATATCTACAAATCTAGACTTGATCTAGCTCAACCACAAGATATGGGCTTGAAGGAGTAGTTACTGGGTGAAACTGTGGCCTGATTAGATCATAATGATTTTTTCTGGCATTAAAATCGTTGAACAAGTTAGAGTTGAAGTCAACAAAAAGAAAAAAATCAGCATCACTTATTTATTATAATAAGATGCTATGCTCCACATTGTCCTAGCTCTGGGCCTGAATTGCTTTTTTGCCCTACTCCTGTAGGAGAGCAGTTGTTTGACAGTCCTTTATAAGAAATTTCGCCCACAGTCTTCATTTTATTGATAGATTCTTCGAGGCTCGCCCACGACGACACCACCATCTGTCACAGCCTTTTGGAATCGCTGGATCTGGTTTTAAAGAAGGGAAACAGCTGTAAAATATAAGGTTTAAAGTAGTTTTCATCCCCCCTATTGTCCCCCCACCAATTAAATCTGCCAGTACTAGAATAACAGGGGTCCTATAAATTAGTGTTGAGATGCAAAGCCATGGAGGCCCCCTGAACTGCAATAGCAGAAGAAGGTGTTGCTTGTCAGAGATAAGATGCTCTGGTAGGATGTCCACATGGCTCTGAGCTGAAAGAAGGGGGGATTGGTAGTTCTTTCTTGGTTAAGGTACATTGCTTGAGCCACATGAGGATCACTTTAGTGTTCAGGAGCAGTAAAATTTGTGTAAAGAAATCAAGTGCAAGGAGATGGATGCTTACCGAGTCACAGCGATATTCCCACGGGATAACAGCTTTAAAGGTCACAAAGTTGATTCCTGCTTCCAGACAGCGTTGTGCCACCACACGCCCAATATTTTCACATGCCGCCACTCCCCTGGGACTGTACAGAAGTCTCTTTATGGCCCACTCACGGGTGGAGGCTGAGACAACGACATTCCCACTGCAATGCTCAACAAAGGCCTCCACATGGTGCTGTGTCCGCTCAAGCCGTAGTCTGGATGAGGGGAAAAATAAATATCATGAACATGAAAGCTAATCACAGAACAACAAATAACTGCTCAAGAACTCCATTTCATTATTTGTTATATTAGACTGTGTCACACTGAAAGAAAGACAGCTTCAGTATTCTGCAGCAAGGGAGATGTACGTTAGATAGGAGAAAAAGCTTTTCAACTATAAGGATAGCTTAACTCCAGAATAGGCTTCCAAGGGAGGTTGTGGAATCCCCATCATTGGCAGTTTTTAAGAACAGGTTAGACAAACACCTGTCAGGGATAATTTAGGTTTACTTGGTGCTGCCTCTGCACAGGGAACCAGACTTGATGACCTCTTGAGGCCAGCCCTACATTTCTACGATTATTTGTTTACAACTCTGAAAACAAAACTTTTAGGAAAAAAGCTAAAAGTTGATAAGTTACAATATATGTGACTATGGCATCATTTCTAAATTTTAAAACAAGGAAAATAGTCAAGGACATCATAAATTTTGTGTTTCTCACTTATAAAGTAGAAAGAAAAGCACTATAACAACCTTAACACTGACTCATGGATTTTTAAAAGTAATTGTTATCTAAATATTGTCTTTTAAGGGACACTAGTAGGGGAAATATCAGGTGCCGGGATTCTGAACCTTTTTTAGGCATACCAAAGCACAGAAGCAAAAGACACTCTGAAGAGGTAACTACAGCCCTAAGTAAAACTTCTGAAACACGTTTTAAGGCTGCAAAAGTTATTGCTTGTTCAAAAGTTTGCAAATTTTTTTATTTTCACTGATTTTATTCTCATTAATAGTTAATTTGTAAGTATTTTTGTCCACTGATTCAGACTTGTATAAGTGGAACCTTAAAGCAGTAATTCCTACACAACAATATGTTTACTTATATTCAACTAAAGATTTCAGGGCTATTCAGAAAACAAGATATTTCTCTGGAATTAAAAGCTCATTTACAACTTTTCTATTTCATTTGGAATCAACAGCAGAGAATTCTAACTTGCTAATATTTCTATTTATTGGTACACTAAAACACTGTGGCCTGTAGTCTCAAGAATGATTAGTGATTTTGGTTGCCCAACTTGAACATCTTTAAGGGCCCCGATTTTCAGACGGCAGGTGCTCATTACACTTTAAGGTGTATCTTGTTTTCTGAATGGAGTGAAATCTTCAGTTGAATCTAAGTAAAAATATTGTAGTGTGGGAGTTATGACTTTAAGGTTACATTCGTTAAGCCTGCATTATTGTTAACAGATTTCTGACTCACCTATGCCAATACTCTCTCTTGGGCCATGTTGTTTCCCAGCCTCGTTCCTTCCTTGCTAGTGCCAGCAGCTCCAAGTTACGAGGATTTCGGTTGATGAAATCTGGGGCAACAATCTCATTTTCCTTTGTGTCCACTTCACCCTCAGTGGTTCTGAAGCTGGCTACAGCAGATATGAAACGAAGCCCTTGGGGGAAATCAGGAAAAGAAGAAAAAACTAGAATATACACAGAATACATAGATTGAGTCTACAAAGCCTGAAATGTAGAATTAGTGATCTGAAGATTTTGGGTGAAAATCTTAGCGGAATTGAACAGTTTTCCACAGTATGTGGGCTGAGTTTTAAGTTGAATGCAGAAGGCATACCACATTTCCACTTATGCTCTGCAAAAGTGAGTTGACAATTTTTTCGTGCCTATAACCCAAATGCATAAATGACAGAAAGATTATCTAAGAATTAAAAAGTTATTCTTAATGAAAGTAAGTAATTGCCCAGGCAACTGCCTGTCTAACTGAATAAAGACATCATAGATGCCTCTGCCAACGTAGTTGAAACCGGATTTGCAATAGTGATTTCTAACTGAACAGTTGTATGTGCAGATTGCAAATGTCAAAACTGGATAATTTCATGATGCAAAAAAATGTCTAATAGAAACTGATCATTGTTTATAATGAATAGTGCCCTCCATTTTGAAGGGTCCAGTAAGGTCTGTGTACATAGATCACTTCATTAACCATTCATATTCAAGCCGCTCTACGGTGAAGTAGCTGTTTAACAGTGCACAGCTGTGTAACAATGTTGGGCAGGAACCAAAAGTTAGAATATTCAGAAGAGGGATACAAGAAGCATTTAGGTATGCCAATGCTATCAATGTTAACATTCCTTCTTATAAAAATGTGCCATGGAGATCTTCAGTAACCACATACAGGAAAGACCTTGGCATTCAGATACCACAGTAAGAATCTAGGAAAAGCTTCCCCATGTAGGCAAATTATACTATTATGACCCATTACAGGGTGTCTTGCTCCTTCTTCTGAAGCATTTAGTTCAGGGGAGCATCAGAAACACAACAGATAACTAGATGAGCAATTAGTCTGTGTATGGTGATTCTTGCATTCCTATAAATGCCTAGGTACCAAAGGCAACACCTAGAGGGACAGAGTACTCCCAGTACCTTCCTGAAGCACTGGGTTCGCCCTAACCCAGAGGAAAGCTTGCCACCAACAGACCTTCCTAAAGCACCCGTGTTTCCGTGAAAGGCTCCCTCCCAATGTGCCGTCCCAGGCCACAGCTAAAACCTGAACCTGGGTAGGCTCACTAAGCATGGGGTACGACCAGTGCAGGAGGCTCAGTCCCAAGAACAAAAGCCTCGCGCCCATCCTTCAGGGGCCGCCCCGGGAAGGGGGATGCCTCCCGTCCGCCTGGCAGCGCAGAGCGGGTTACCGGGACTAGCGCGTTGAGTGTCGGCGACACTTAATTTCGCTGCTCGCCCATGGCCCTGGCACCCGCGGCCCGACCAGCCCCGCGCGGGCGGGGTGAAGACACCGGTCGGAGGATCGCGGGGGTCCCAGGGGCGGGTGACGGTAATCGCGAGAAGCGGCGGGAAACCACCTTTTCCGGCTCCCTGGAGTTTCCCGGCCGCAGCACCCAGCAGCAGCCCCCGGCTCCTCAGCGCCATCGTGGCCAGGCAGAAGTCGCGGTGAAACGTCCCCTGCGCTCACGGCCGCCCGGGAGCCGCCATCTTTGCTGACCCGACCGGCTCGGCTGCTCCGGAAGCAGACAACTAACTTCCGCCCTCACAGTGCCGGCTGCCGCCCTTCCGCCGCGGGGGCGGAGCTAAGAGGCGACAGTCAGCTCCGGCGAGCAGCAGCCCCGCCCCGTGCACAGCGCTTGCGTGCGGGGTAGGCCCGAGGCCTACGCCTCGCTGTGCCAATAACCCCCGTGCTCAGCGGAGTTCCCGTCATGGGATCGGGAACGGTTTTAGTAGGGTTCCCATAGTCAAACATTTAAAAAAGAGGACATGCTACGGGGCCCGGCCCCAACCCCACCCCATTCCAACCACTTCCCCAAAGTCCCTGCCCCAACTCTGCACCCTCCTTTGAGCACCCATGTTCCCCCTCCTCCCTCCCTCCCGCTCTGATCTTGGTTGGGGGTTGCTAAGTGTTTCCCTGCTCCCCACTTGCCCTGCAGCCCCTGCACCCCCCCAGCCCCCACTCCTGCAGCCTCTGTGCCCCCTGCTTCCCACTGGTCCTGAAGCCCCTGCCCCCCCCCCGCCGCCTCTATGCCCCTGCCTGCTCCTCCTCGCCCTGCAGCCTCTGCACCCCCTGCTGCCTCTATGCCCCTACCTGCTCCTCCTCGCCCTGCAGCCTCTGCA